ATTTCATAATATACATAATATGTTGCTGGCAGTGAGATGTACTTGAAATATCACGTACCCGCATGCAGCAGCAACTTGTCACATTGTAGATATGTTGATATGTGAGCCATAGATATGTGGCATGTGAGATATAGTACATACTTGGTGAATTAAGTGTAAAAGACGCGCAGATAGGCTACGTAATTACAGCACATAATGGTAAATGAATGTGATTGTGGTGAGTGAGAGTGGTCAATGCTGATTGTATTGATTTAAAAAGAATTCGATATGCCATGACATTCAAGGAATTTTATGGTTTCCGTCCATGCGAAATAAAAGAGGAAATTGCAAAAAAAAAAGAACGTTAACAATAAAGAAAATTTTACAGCACAGTCCAACACCTTTGTGTTGAATATATATGTGGCCATTTAAGCACATACATATGTGTAGGTATATATCGATATAATGCTATAAAATTTTACCCGTGTACTTACATTCTTGCACGGCAACGCATATACTGATTTATTAAGTGTAAACAAACACATTTCTGCACATTTATTCCTGACAGCATCATATATACCACCTACGGGTAATATTCACCACACCACACATTCACCGCACACCAAACACACACACACACACACGCAACACTGATTGACTGCTTGGTTGTTTGATTGACTGCTCCATTGAATGACGGGTAATTAAAACTGAAAATTGTTTACATCATTTTTGTTAATTGCGGTTGTAAAATTTGTTGAGCTCCGTGCACAGTCAATACGAGTATGTGCCAAATGTGCAGGTTTGATTTATAAATTTTGTTTTTATAAACCATGTAACAAGAAATAAATAAAAGGAAATTAATGTAAATTAATGCACGATTTAATCTGCTTAGTTTTAACGAATTTCATTGCTTTTCCCAAGAAACTATACAAAAGTGTCTAAAAATAAAGTTGAAATAGAAGCGAATAATTATCAATTTTTTCCTTAAATATAATTATTTGTTTTATTGTTTGAATACGCATTGCGTGACATTGACCATAAACTAGTAAACAACTATGTCGAAGGAAGAAAACTACCATTTATAACTCAGCAGTTGAAGTTGCCAAACGATGTCCTGCAGCGTAACAGTATGAGCCACAGACATGCATATTGCATATAAAATGGATTGCCAAATTTTAATTTATATATTACAGGCGATTTAAATGTCAACACATGACTCTAAATACTGAACTTGTACATGTCGCAAGGATAACAAGGATCATAAGGAGTAGCATGTCACGTGTACAACCAGCAGATTTATGTGCTCACGTATATTGAAGTCATAAGCTTTTGGAACATTTGCAGAAGTAAATGCTGAGATTTATTATGTCCTTTATGTATCTTAATGACAAACGTGTTCCAAGCTTCATTAAGAGAACGAATTTTAAAGGAAAATACTTGTAGCTGCGCTTCTTCAACAGAAACCGCTTAAGTTCAAATAATTACTGTTAAAACAGTTTTTGCGAAAAACTAAACGAAATATTAATCTTATCGCTATGTTTAACCAAATAATCGATTAATTAAAAATAAAAATTTTATTGTTTAGACACTTATATTTAAAAACTATTTATTAGTAACATAGTTTTCTTTCGTAATAGAAATAAATTTAATAAGGACATTTATTTAAATGATAAATAATTGCAATTAATTTAATTAGATCATGGAGATCGAATGCTTCTATGCTTCTAGAATTAAACAAGTCTAAAATTGTTAATAGGGAATATAGAATTTAACCTGTTAACAAATTTTCAATTTAAAAGTATTAAACGGTTCAAAGGATCTGTTGAGAAAAGATATTATCTTAATGTTAATTTTCTTTGCCAAAAGTGACGCGTTTTATGACAAAAAGAAATTATTTTAAAGTTAGGGTTCGAATAGAAATGAAAAGACAACTAAAATTTTTTAGTTGATTTATTGAAATTTGGGTGACCATACAATGCTGTTTCGAGTATTGCCAAGTACTTGTAGTGTAACCTTTGCATAGCTTCTTTGTAAAATTACAGACAAAAAGCTTTACATATAGTAAATAAAAATATGTATAACAGATGTCTCTGCAAAAAGAATTGTTTTAAAATAAAAACAGACAACTTCAAAAATTAACTGTCAATTCGTTGAACTTGCGTTTCCAAATAAAGCTGTAGTTTATAAGCTCGTTCTTATTTAAAGCACGGCAAGTGCTTTGGAAAGTATCACTTAAAAAATAGAAAAGACAAAAAACTTGGAACTTGAGCATTGAAAGTTTGTGCCATGGCTTCTAATTTGACAAGCACGAGTTCTAAGCCTAGCACTTGCAGTACGAACATATTATTATAGACTATGAACTAATTAAAAAATTCGAATATTTCCTAAGACCCCTGATGACGAGGACTTGGCAATACCAAACAATAAACAATACAATAACAATACAATAAACAGTACAATAATTAATTAAAAAATTTTGTTGTTGTCTTCCTATTTCTATTCGAACTCTTCTAAAAGACATTTTCATTATAACAAAAATTAATTCTATTTTAAAAACGGTTTAAGAGAATTGTAGCGAAATGATAATAGACCACAATAATGTTCTTGATCTAAGTTTAGGGAGAATTTAAATATTTAAATATATTTAATTATCAATTACCAATAATCATGTATTCAAAACTGAAAATTAATTTCATTTCAGTCAACCACAGTATATGTTAATTTTGGCACTTAATGTAAAGACAAGTTCGTCTTAAGATCTTTGGTACTTAACGATTTGGTGTCAAGTATAGTATCCGAATGAACCACGAGCTGTATGAGCTTTATCATGACATTGGTATATTACTGTAAAATAAACATCTAGCGACTTCGTTGGTTTTGTCAAGTCGTTAGAAGAGGTCAAGATACTTCAGACGAAAAAAATATTTGAAGTGAACGTATGCTGCGACAGGTCGAAACTCGGTAACGGACTATTCTGGACATTTAGGTAAAGTACATAAGTATATAATGTAAAGAATTGAGAAGAATAACCAAATAATTGCAAATAAGTTTAATAAATATAAAATTATATCAAAAATTATATTGTAAAACATTCAGGACACTAACTTTTTATGTATGTATTGTTGATTAAAACTATATTTATTAATTAATTAAGACCAATCTAGTGCTGGTTAAGAACTCCAGCAGTGCGATTATACTTGATTTAATACATAAAAACATGGGAACTATTTGAAGATTATGTCCACTGTCTTTGTAATGATTTATACAAATGCGTACAACAGATCATAATATACAAACGATTCAGACACCGAGTAGATTACCAGACCGGCCTGACTCAAATATCAAAATGCTCGGAACTTCGATTAGCAAGATCATTATTTGAAGTTTGTAATAAAATTTTTATTATTATTTTAAAACAGAACAAAAAAATATTTATTTAAATTTAATAACCCGTTCAATGTTTAGACCACAGAATTAACATATTTTATTTTAAACTAAAAATAAAATAGACCAAATAGTCTACAAAAAAACTGTGAAATAAAATAATGTTTTAGAGGAAGTAGTTTATATAAAGGAAGTTTTAATAAGATATATATATATATAATTTTGTACTCACTCAATTTCATTGTTTTCGAATACCAATTCACCCTGCAATGGTTCATATTCCTTGCCGGCTTTCGCAGTACCATCCTCCGTCCAATAGGGTATAATAACTTTTCCGCGCGCACCGGAATACCGTTGTACCTTTAGTTCATAACAGCCTACCGATTCATTAAGTTCATGATTGAATTGTTGGAATGCAAATATGCCAGAATGATCATCATCCAATATCATAACAGTGGCTACCTTTGGAGTTGATAGTGTAGCGGATTCGGATGGATTACTTAAACGCACATAAAAATGTTCATCCTGCTCAAAGACATCGTCATCTATAATTTCAATTTTGAAGCGTTGCTCATCCACACCGGGTGGAAAAGTAAGTACACCTTTTTTTCCAATGTAATCACTACCAGCTTCAGCAGAACCATCTTCTGTCTCATACTCTACAGTTGTATAACCGGAAATATCACCACGCCGCACTACCCGCATTTCGAATTCGCCACAACTTTCCATAACCGTATAATGACCAGGTTCGAAAAAGATTTGCATTGGTGATTCCTCTTCCTGAATGGTCACATCTACGCGTTGTAATTCCGCTTTAACTTCACTTAAGTTCATTTGTGCACGTTCTTGGGCTTTCTTCATTATATTGCCACTACCCATCAGCTTTCGTGTTGCTTGTATACGATAAAATGCTCGAGATTTGGGTCCACGATTTATGAGTTGTTCATGTGCCATCATTTCTAATTGCTCCAGATCGCTTTGTGGGTATTTTTTGCGCAGATCTTTTAGCGTCGAAATGTATTCACGTCTCGCCTCCTCAAAGTCTTTAGTTTCCTCACTCTCATCGAAGGTTTTAATGTCGGTTTCCTCTGGTTGATTCATTTCTAGCGCTGCATCGCCCTCGGCGCTTACAATAACACCACGCTTATTCATACGATAATTTTTATCCAAATATTTATAGATTAATAGACGACGATCAGCAATGTATGCTGTTAATACTGTTGCGGGGAAAAACATAAACGTTAACAAGCCCTCCCACACATCAACACGGCCAGGCGTAATTTGAGCCAATATTAAATATAGCCATATATAGGCAAATATTGACCACGTTGCTGTGACGAAAAACACTCGTAAATGCTTAATTTTACGCACTTCTCCTTTCGGTATCACAACTATACATAATGCTATGATAACGAATAAGTTATATGCAGCAGAGCCTACAATTGTACCAGGTCCTAAATCACCAGCTTCAAACTTTTTCGCAAACATTTCAATAACAGAAAGCAGGATTTCCGGAGCACTTGAGCCCAACGCCATTAATGTCAAGTTAGCAACAGTTTCATTCCAGACTCGCACAACTACAATCTGTTTCTCACCACCCTTCTTCTTGACAACAACTTCCTTCTCTTTGGACGTGATCACCTCAATCGCTGCCATAAAACGATCAGAAGCAATTGAAACGCCAATAAACAAATAAACCATCGCAATAAAATAACATAGACCACGCGCGACACGATCGCCTATCGTTATATTGTCCTGTGGTTTCCAAACTTTTAGTATGAGGCCATCCTTGCAGATGTCCTCCTGCGTTGCAGGCAGCGCTGTGACATTACTTATGGGCGTGGTGTTTTCTTCTGTATTTTGAGCAAGCGTAAGTGTTGTTGTACACACCAGGAGCAGACAAAGCGCTAATATTAGATGGTTCGTAAATCGTTTGCTGCTACCAAACATTATCGTTGTTGTTGCTAACGTTGGTGTAGTTGTAGTTGTTTAAAATGTAAATTAGATTAAAATTTTATTATCTGGCGAGGAAGTGAGAAAGGCGAGATTTTCTTTGAACGAAAGTGCTGTTTAGTGTTAGTTAATGCAATTTGCCTAAAGTGAGCTTTGGACGGTTGATATTTGATTGGGCGTGCCGTGTCTTGTTTGCTTGATTTTGTTTTTGCTTTTGCTTTTGCTTTTGCTTTTGCTTTTGTTATTGAAATTATTCTATTACTGTGATATCTTGGATTTACATTCAACCTCTGGGATGTGAGCGTGTAGCATAAAGCTTGGGTGCAATGTGTCTGAGAGGTGAAAGTTATTTTTTGGTCTACTAATGTTGGATTGTTTGCTTAAATTTAATAAGTTATGAATTTATGTTTGCTTTGCGCTTCTGTTATTTAAAATTTATTCAAATACTTTTCACAATTACTTTTGTATGGTTTAGTTGCGGTTGATGTTGCAAGTGAGATGATGCAACAACTTCTAACAATAGGTGCGTGCTATGAACGATTAAGCGACATACTCTTGGACTACTGGACTATTCTAAACTCTATTTGCTGCGGTTGAAGCTGGTTTCTTTGGTTTGTTAGATTTAGTAAAAGCCTTGAAATCAGATATTGCTTTGACTCTGGCCGTGTTCGATAGATGCTTAATGCGTTTTCTAGTAATTCCTTTTTAAAATTCGTTACTTTAACACCAATGATGCAATATTCCGATTTAGTAAGAGAGAGATGAAAATTTGTCAGTGCAATTTTGGCTTTAATATGTGAGCTTAATAACTATCCTGCCATTTTACAATATAAACCGTAATCAATGTTCCTTGACCTGTAAGAAAAAAGTAAAATTATTACAAAAATCATATAATTAAAATAATATTTGTATATAAAAGTTAAGCAATTATGAATAGAAGAATTATTGCCAATGGCAGCATATTTCTTAGCGCTCACTTAGTCACATACATTTCGAATAATTTTCTGATATTTTTAATAGAACTTAAACTTAATGGAACATTTTAAAAATATTTTTAAGGAAAAAAGGAATGAAAACGATATTTTTAATCATCATAAAATTATCAATTTTTATTTTAATAATTATTTATTTTAATATTATTTGGTAGCAGATTTTTCAAAATAAGCTCAAACTGCTGATATTTAATCTGCCAACTAATGCAATATATATATATATATATATATATGTATATTCATGAAAAATATTCTGCAGTAAAAATTTAGAGGATATTACACTAAAAAGTTAGATTAGGTTAGGTTGGAGTGACGGCTTTGTACCCTAGGATTACTTGAGCTCAAATAATGGCTGATGAATCGTGAAAGGTGCACTGATTGCTGCTGTTAATAGACTGGTGGCATATTGAACCGTAGGTGTTCAATAATTAAGAAAATCGGTAAATCACTGTTAATGATGCCTTAAACAAAGTTATGAATGTCAATTTATCTCTTCATATGCTCTGGAAAGATTTTGGTTTTAACAAGTCTGTGTTAATGACATGTCAACGAGTTGTTAATGAACGAGTTGTTTATATTATAGAAATGAAATACTTGAAATACTTCTGTGAAATACTTCAAGAATGTATAGATATGGAAACATGGTGTGGCTTTTTAAATCATGTGATAGATCATATATGAGAGAATTTTAAATTGTTAGTCTATGCAGATAAGTTGATAATAATTTCAGCCTCGGAAGACATTATTACCTAACAAAAATATTTGCAAATGTAATGTAAGAATATAAAACTAATTAACGTTATATTAAAACAGCATTTGATAAGTGAGTTTCCAAAAGTTAAAGAAATTCTCGACATCATTCTACCTACAATAAATGTAGAATATATACTTTTTTATATAATATACATTATATATCTACATATTATATTTAAACTCCTGCTTTATATAAACGATTCATTTGATATATCTTTCATCACATAATTTGATTATGATTATTTAATATACATAGTTTATCTATTATTTATAATTTTGAAAATAATCACAAGACAATGACAAAAAAAGATTTTGTCATTTCAAGTTTCTAGCAACGGCGCCGACGACGATTTAATGAAATATATTTTTAGATATCTGATATATACACATCCACTAGTAGAATATAGTGTAGGTATATTAAATGAAATTGATGGGCTGTGTGTGTCTGATGATGTCTTCGGTTGTTGGCTTAAGCAAATGTTGGGTGTGCATATGGTATATGGCAACATACGCGAAAGGTATTTTTTGCTTATGTCAGTGCTCAAACATTTACGGACCACATAACCTTCTCCTTTGAAATTTGTGCCAAAAGGTAAATAAATTAAATAATTTTTTTTGTCATTATTATTTGTAGATACATAATCTGAATAGTTAGATTTATTCACACATGATTGTGTTATACTGATTAGAAGATAATAAATAATTCAACATCACTATTGCATATTTAAAGCTGCTCTGGCACTTGGAGAATAAAAAAATTTAGCAAAACTAAAATAAAATAGGTTATGAAAAACGATATATAAACGAATAAATTATTTATATTGTATTTAAAAAGAATCATTAAATCAGTTTCAGGTTTGGAAAATTGTTGGCTTTAATATTAAATTGAAGCTTCTCACGCTACAGCAATTACGACAAGGAAAACGAACGACAAATGAAATGATAAGATAATTTTTGGATAATTACACGAATTAATTCAACATTTTATCTCAGATAAATAAACTCGATTTGCTGTTGTTCACATTTCATAGTACAAGGAATACTTTTTATAATTGCATTTAGAATATATTTAGAATTTACAAAGATGTTGATTTAGTAAGTAGACGTGCTATAGTTGTAATAAGAAAAGAACTTTTATGGTATTAGACTCCCAATAGAACGATTGATTATATACACCATACCGGTGTATTAATTGTACTTAATATGGGGATCCCATATTTCGTCCATGACAATATTAACAAGATTATTAATTACTGGAAATTAGTTTACTATTAAATTAATAGAGATTGTGGCAGTGTTTTTAATTTGATAATGGCCAATATTTCTATAATTCTGTAGAATTATGCACTATAGTTTATATAACTGTAATTCTATAGTTTATCGTTTTAAAGATTAATTTTGTGCTTCCATGATTAGAATTTATTTCAACCAAATCACTGTTTTATAATAATAGTACTCGCAAAAACAAAAGAAGTACTTGCTCTTTCTCTTTTTAAATTGATATTTTCGTCTTCCATCAACTGCTAATAAAGCAGTTAATTTGATAATTCCTTTGAATCATGATCTGTTTATAACTAATATACGTATGTATGCATGTTGATCCTTTTTTCGAGTTAGCGCAACTGGGCACTTTTACTCTTTGATAGCTGGGTGTACTACAGGGTCCCACCCATCTCATTGACTAATTTATGTATTCCTTATAAGCTTCATGATTATTCAGTGATTGATCTAAAAACTGCGTACCCCCCGTGCAGAGAGTGATTACTCTAAGATTAGATAGTGCTAAATAGGATAGCCTGTCAGTTTTCGCATATAACTTCAGGGCTCTGTCCCTTATGTATTTTGTGATCGGGTCTATTCTAAGGTCTCTTAACATGTCGTTTGTGCGGATGTACCAAGGCACTTTGAAGAGTCTTCGAAGAGCCTGACTTTGAGTAACTTGTAGCTGTTGTATAGTAGAGTCGGCAGCTTTGCTATACGCAATACACCCATAAAGTAATGCTGGTGTAATTATCTGGCTATAGATGAGTTTTCTGTTCTTCGCGATCTATTCATAGAGTTTTTAATGGGACTTGAGATTGGTAGATACCTAAGAGCTCTTATTTCGAATCTGTTTTATATATGAAGAAATTATTAAAAATATAAAAAAATTGTGAAAAAACAGTTACGTAATAACAGTATTATCAGAACTTAAAAACTTGTTGCGGTTGAGTAACATTTTTAAAAGAAGACAACCATGATAAAATATACATACCATATATGTATTAGTGATACTTAGACAAGAAGCATAAGATGGCAATGCAACAATCTAAAGGCTTGCCAAAAGACTTTATATAAAACACAAAGTAACTGGACACTCTATGGATATATTTATTTGTCGTATTGCATTAATAGTTAGAAATATTATATATAAATTGTTTGAAAAGTCATAGGTCAATACCAAAGATCTCAGACAATCCAAAAAGCGTGTTGACACCAATGTACATTTATCTGACTAACGAATCTTTGATATTCGATGTTAATGAAATAGTTGAACGGTATGAGTACTAACAATGGTTCCTGCAGGTCGCAGATAGTTAAAATGTCATTAATTTCTTAATCAAACATGCTCATGTTAACTACCGTTTTCCAAAAAAAAAATTAAATTGAAGAATATTGAATTGAAGAAAAAATTGACACCTGTAGATTCTATGCACTACAAAGTGAAACATCAGTTCATCATCTTATCTGTTCGTGACATCGAATTGTTAAACAACGACTCAAGTACATCCGTCTAATTTTTGTTGAAGCATCTCTATCACATTCTGTTGATTGAGGTCTGAATTCTTAAGTCGAGAGACATTTAGGTTTATAAATAGTCCTAGTTTCATTTAAGTTTGATATAAAAAATCCGTTGAGTGTTTATACAAGAAATCTATTTGGACACACTTCTGTTAATCATTGCCTTTGATAAATGGGACCTAAAGAACTATGACAACTCTAAATTCTTTGAAGCACATAGAGAAACATACGCTTTAGTCGTGCACTGCATTCGAAGGGTCCCGAATTTAGTACTCCATTCTTCTTTTAATAAAACAGAATGACATTTGGAATCATTCTCCATGAAGAAACATGTTTATTTTAGTTTAGATGAGTCACAATTAAGTTAGAAGGTCAATTTGTTCTATTGTGACTTTTAATAATAATAATGTAATGATTAGATATATTTATTCATACACATATTTAAGTAATTATAAAATAATATATTCATTAATTTATATAAACGCTTTAAAACGTTCATCTATTTTTTTAGTATCAGGAATAGATATTCTATCTAATAGATAACATTTTTCGTGCTATTTCATAAAATGAGCGTAATTCCCATTTAATTACATTGAGTTTCCACTGAAAAATACTTTAATACACAACTTAATTAGACACTTAAAGTGCTTAAGATACAAAATGCAATTCATTAGCAATTTGTAATTGGGACTTCTCAAATTAATTGCTGGAAATAATGGAAAATTGTTGTGCAGTTTTAAGTGATTTCTGAATGGAATGGATTGCTGAATTGTAAAACATATCTAATCTTTCAATTAAAAGTCAAAACAATTAGCAAAGCAAACATCAAAGCATCAAATAAATATTTTACAAATGATTTTTATTTATTGGAATAAAAACGTTGAAGATACAAATTGAGTTAGGGAAAAAAGATCATAAATCGGATACAGACACGCACATTCAACGAAATATAAACATTAAAATATAAACATTTCGTACGTAGGAGGCGGTGAGAATATTTATTGGAGGAAAAATATCTGTAATAACGTTTGTGAAGGAAAATATTATAAATTTTCCTCCGCAAACTGTGAACATGACCTCTTCCAGAGCAGTGCCGAAAGTAAACAATCGCTGCGAAAAGAGCACCAAAGTAAGTTGAGCGTAGCGAAAGCGTTACAGTAACTTAGGAGGAAATATTCTGATGTGAATGCTATATTCACCGATTAGCACCTGTAGCGCAAGGCGGAAGAAATGCCAGATGCAAAATTCCAAGACTCATAAAAATAGATGTCAGTGCTTGTTGTTTATTTGTGTAGATACAATATTTCAGAAGCGTTTCGATGTACTTTT